AACGAATAAACACATAAGAACACGTAGCACATAACACGTAAACACAATATCTAGAGGCAAAAATCCTAAGGAAAGCGGGTAAAACATATAACACGTAAGCCACATAAACACACAACCTATCTATTACATCGGGGAGCCTAACTACAATCTAAAATGGAAAAATAAAGAAAATCCTATCTACCCTATCTATTACAACAGGGGACTTAACTACAATCTAAAAAGGAAAAATATAATAAAAACAAATCTAATTATCCTATCTATTACATTTATGAGGTAATTAAATGCCTCTCGAATAATTATAAGAATTAACTAAACAAATATAAGAAAATTCGAATGAACATGTAAATCAAATAAACAAAACATATGAAAATATATAAACACATAGGAACACGTAGGAGCACATAAGAACACATAATTGACATTGAAATAATAATAATGGGGTACCTCCCTTTTGAAGTGGTGACTAAACGGAGTCAAATTGCCCTATTTATATTCAAAATGAACAAAAGAATCATGGCACCAATTTAATTGAAAAAGTAATAATTATAATGAAAATTCACCTTAATATGTCAAACGTAAATAAATTTAAGAATATCTAAAAATTACAAGTTAAACATACTCAAAAGTAACATAATCAGCTATTAAAGAAAAGAAGCAATCATAATAAAGAGAGTCAAAATTCATCAGGGACTGAATTGTAAAATTTGAAAAACTTTTGGGGAAAAAAATTATATTTTCCAAAGTTCAGAGGTCGAAATTAAATGAAAGATAAAATTCAGGGACTAAAGTGCAATTAATTTAAGGACCTAGGTGAAAGGAATTTAAAATGTTTTGGGCCACAATAAAACTGCTCCAAAGATCAAGGGCCAAAGTGCAAATCGTAATCAGATCTTCTTAAGAAAATAGGCTATTGGGCCATTATTTATTTCTTCGGGCCGAAAACTGCCTAAACCCAACCGAAAGTCCAAACCAAAACACACATGCCAGCCCGTCTTGTTATCACTCAAGACCGACCAAAAAATACATGGGTTCCAACCTCCTAACCCAACCGAAACCCAAAAGAAATAAACAAGGATCCATTCCCAAAATCCAACCAAAAAAATAAACTCAAGCCTACTAAAAAATTAACCCAATTCTTTTCCTTTTTTTCTTCTTCTTTTCTTTTCTTTCCTTTCTTTTCTTTCTTCCCCATTCGTTTCTTCTTCTCCTCTGGCCATCCGAAGCTCACTTCAGTTGGCCACCGGTGGCGCCGCTGCCACCAGACCGCCACCGCCGGCGTCCTCTCCGGTTACCAAAATTTCTCAAAATGCACCTCCCCACTCCATTTTTCCCGTAGGTTCCATTTCCGAAGTTAATTTTTACAAAAGATGACTCGAAGGTGGCCGAAAAGCAAAAAGTCAGTCCAGTTTTTTATTTTTTAAAACACTCAAATCTTCACCCAAAAATCATAAAATTTATGCCAAAACACTCCTTATTGTCGCGCCCCATTTTTTGAAAGAAAAATAAATTAGTTTAGCAAAATGATTTTTTGATTTAAAAAGAAAAAATGAAAAAAACATGTGGGTCTAAATGGGACTTGCGAATGCAACGATTCGACCCAAAATATAGTTTAAAAAGAGTTTTGAATGAAAAAATGAAGTCGCCACTTGGTATAGAGTTAAGGTGTATCAAGTCACCTAAAAATGAATTTTTAAAGAAAATTAAGTAGAAAACCCTTTTTAAACGATTCCAAGTCTACAAAAATCAGAGAAAAAGATTCGGGAGTCACATTTGAAGAAAGGGAAGGCAAGGATAAGAATCCGAGACACCCTTTCAACCTAGCCAAGGCTAGTTGCGCGATTTAGTCAAAAATTTTCTTTATTTTTAATCCAAAGATGTATCGCATGTGGATGTAACTAACATGGATGCAATCCTAAATCTAGTGATGAATCGAATGGGACAAATATCTCTTAGAGGCTCGATTGAACTAATCACATGAGTCGTGATAGTCAAGGATAAGCCCTCCAAGAGGTCACGAATAATGCTAATGATGTAAGAATGAGTGAAATGAATGTATGCAATGTGAAAAACATGAGTTTGTGAAGTAAAAAAAAAAAAGTAATAAAAGACAATAGTGTGTGAGTGGAAGTTGTACAAATGGGTGTGCAAGGTGAGGTATGTAAAGTGATAGTATGAAGTGCATGTGTGCAAGTGATAGTAATAGTATAAGTGGTAAAGTGAAAATGTGCAAAATAAGAGTTGTGTGAAGTGAAAATGTGGAAAGTGATCATGTACAAAATAAAATGTATGAGCCCTAGAGGAATGCAAAATGGGTACGGGGAGACCCTAAGTCGTGACTTTTAATTTTCCTTTTGGTTAGAAAAAGAATGAGCGTGCTAAGGCTATGTGTAGCCAAACTCGTCCATCCCCCTTACCAAAAGGGTAACTCCCTAACCTATACAAGCAAATGAGCTAATCTAAATGAAAATGCAATCCTAAATGTGCAAGGGAAAGGGAGTGAAGGGTCATGCAAAAGTGTAAAACTAAAAAGAAAAAAAATGAATGAGGATGTATTGAGGGCATGCGAATATGTACTAACGAGGGGCGGCCCTATTAGGTCTAGCGTTGGACTAACCCTTTATTTATGAGTACTCACTAGCATTGGACTAGCGAGAAATCGGAAAAAAAAGGGTCTCAACTAGCGTTGGACTAGTGAGAAATTTGAGAAAAGGTACCACAACTAGCGTTGGACTAGTGTGGTGACGTCATTCATTTATTCATAATCACATAAAAACATGATAAAGCAAGTAAACACCTAAACCACATATAGCACATAGCACGTGAGCATAATATCTAGATGCAAGACCCTAAGAAGGCGGTAACACATAGCACGTAAGCATGTAAATCACACAATACTCAATGAAGCAAATAAAGCCCTAACTATTACATTTGGGGAGCCCTACTACAATCTAAAGGGGAATGAATTAAGTAAAATGATATACTAACCTAACTATTACAATCTTGGCATGAAATTGCCTTTCAAATATATAAAAACTAAAGCCAATAAGCGAAATGAATAAATAAATAACAACATTCAAGAGCATGCAATTAAACACGTAAAGTCACGTAGGGCACATAGAGTCAAATAAAGTAAGAAATAAGGGATAGGGTGTACCTCCCTTGAATTGGAGCCCTCCAAAAACTACTTATTTACCCTCCAAAAACAAAGAAAGGGTCAAGGCACCACTTTAATTAATAAGTAATCACAAAAGATAAAAATAAACATGAAATTAAATCAATTAAATCATATAGGCAACCCAACATCTAAGAAGCCAAAAGAAGAAAGGACTTGATTGCAAAAAATAACAAAGCTTTGGGGTCAAAGTTAAAGAAAATAAAGTTTAAAGGCCTATTTGCAATTAAGTTAGGGACCCAATTGAAAGAAATGGAAAGCTTCCAGGGCCACAGTATAGTTAAGGAAAAATGCAGGGGCTGATTTGCAATTTCGTTTCTGGTCTCTTAAGTGACAAGGCCACTGGGCCAACTTTTGTCTATTTTTGGGCCAAAGATCCCTTCAGCCTGCCGCAAAGCCCAGAGACTACATATGGGCCTCTACTTATTAACATATATAGTAAATGTGTGAATGCAATTGCCCAAATTGAACCTAATTGCTGACGTGGCGCTCTCCCATTGGTTGATTGGTGGTAGTCCTCCAATTGATTCCAATTTGATGAGTTGTCATCCTCTGTTCGCTGATTGGTGATAGTCCTCCCAATTGCATATAAAGATGGTGATGTGGCGAGTTTTGATTGGATGAAAAGTGGTAGTCCTCTAATTGCATGTAGGATTGTGCTAAAATTTTGCTTCTTTCTTTTTTATCCAACAAATCACATTAACAAAAATTTTGGATTCCTTTTTTTTTGTTGTCCATCAAATCACATCTAATTGCCAATTTTTTGCAATTAATTGTTAATAACTAATTTAATGTCCTGTTTTTTGTCATTCAACATATCACGTTTAATTAACAATTTTTTTGCAATTAGTAGCAAAAAATTGACTTCTTTTTTGTGGTTGCCCAAAAAACCACCTTTAATTATCAAATTTTTTTTCTGGCTGTCCAACAAATCACATCTAATTACCAAATTTTTGCAATTAATTGTTAATAACTAATTAATAATGTCAAGTTTTTGGTCACCCAACAAATCATGTTTAATAACAGTTGTTTGGAATTATTAAAAAATTGGCTTCTTTTTTTGTGGTTGCACAAAAAATGCATTTAATTATAAATTTTTTTTCAAATGTCATAAAAAATGTCCTCTTTTATTTTGGGTTGTACAACAAATTATATTTAATTATCAATTTTTGCAATTAATTGTTATTTAATTAATTAATTAGCAATTTCACTTTCTATTGCCTAATAAATAACATTTAATTGCTAGCTTTTTGCAATTATTAACACTTTTTTTCTGTTGCTAAATGAACCACATCTAATTACCAACTTTTGCAATCAATTGATAATTTTTTTTTGGAAGTGAATCGTCACTTTTTATTGCCTAGCAAATAACATTTAATTACTAGCTTTTTGCAATTATTACCACTTTTTTTGGTTGCCAAATAAATCCCAATTATTTGTCAACTTTTTTGCGATTAATTGTTGATCTACTTATTACCTTTGGAAGTCTTTTATATTGAAGAACTTTTTACCTTTGGAACTTTTTTTTTGCATATGGTTTGAGGATTTATGGGTTTTTTGCCCTTTTTACTTTTGATCAATCAAACGGCATCGTATGCTGATGGATCTTCAATCCTTTTTCTTCCGCTTTTCTCTCTCTCTCAGTCAAACGCACAACTATCAGTCAGGGTCAAGAACTCTTGAAGACCGATCCGTATTGCTGTTATCCTCCAGACAAAATTCCATCTTCGTGAGACCCATAGTTCTCCCCTGAATTTCTGGCATTTGATTGTACTTGAAACAGGTTATAATTTCAATTGGGGTCCAAATTTTTTTTCTTCTGACAGAGTTGATGGATGATGGGCTCAAGAATGCAAAGCGACTGGTAATCTTCCTCTCCTCCCTTTGTCGATTTCTCCCTCCTGTTCTCCTTCATCTCCCTCTCTCCATACCTCAAGTAATTATAGCTGATTTTTTCTATTTCTTTGCCATTTTGCCTGATATTTCCTTGGCTAAAAACAATCAATTCTTCCCCCTTCTTTTTTTTTTATCCTTTTCTGAAACAACGAGGAAGTGAAAGGTTAATATTTCATCTCCACTGTCTATATGAATTTGTAGAATACAGATATGATATTTTTCTTCACCTTTCTTTCCATGATTAACGTCTTTGTTTCGTTTCAGTTTTATCATTAAATTTTTATTTTTAGTTTCAACAAAAACCTTTTAATATGGTCGGAGATGGTGAATAATTGATGATTAGCTGGCTTGTAGATATTTATTTACTTTATTTTTTGTACCTATTTGGTGTTTTATTGTTCCATTTTTCTTTCCGTTTTTGCCTTTCTTGGATTTCTTCTGCAACAGGGAGGAAAATTGGCCACCCGTGAAAGACAACTGCTGAGGGGAAAAACGTAAGCTTTGTCCTATCATTCTAATTTAATTTTTACTTTAAATTGCTCTTTTCAGACCTCAAATGATGGTATACTTTTCTTTGGCCTTTGGTCTTTTCAAACCTCGTTTGAGTTTTCTTTTTAGTCATTTTTTTGGTGTCTTTCGTGCAGGTGTTTTGTTGATCTCTTGCTCAGAAAAGAAATCCATATGGTAACAAAAAAGATTCACTTGTTTTAAATAGATTTCTTCATCTTCAAAATGTCTTTCTATTTGCTCCAGTTCTTCCAATTCCTTTTTCTTCATTGGGTTTTCAACATTTGAAGAATGAATAAATTTCTTCTCTGAGAATCAGGAACTTCCAGGTCACATTGGTCATTGGCCAAAACTTTGAGTTACAAAAGATCGTGTGATGCTACTCTTTTGATTGCTTTGTGTTGAAATTTTTTGTTTTAGTACATAAATTGTCTCTTGGTAAAACCTCTTGAATATTCGTTTTATGAACCTTAAGTGGATATTAAACTGAGTATCTTGAGCAATATATTTTTTTGTTACAATGGCAATCTAAATGGTTTTCCTATTTGTAGGTGGTTAAAGATTTGTCCAAGACGAGGATTCTCAAATATTATATTCTAAGCACCTGCTTGAAATAATAAGTTACGATTTTAATAAAACACCTTAAATTTTCTATTCCTTGATCAAAAAAAGAATTAAATTGCTACATAATTGTAGTTTTGCCTCTTGAATCATGGACTACGATGTTTAATAGCTTGGAAATTCTTATTAGGAAAATCAGTTTTGGTTGACTTAAGTCTATATTTACAAAACATTATTTTCTCTTAGATTTGTAACATTTTAGTAAGATTAAGTCTGGAAAACTGAACCTTATGATAGTTTTTTTACTTGTAAAAATGAACTTAATTGAGATAAGCCTAAACAGAAAATTTTGTGACAAACATGAAGACGGTATTCCAATTGATAGGTTAAAAAAGGTGAATGTGATGCAGACCTTCAATTTATGTTGAAGTTTTTTATGCAGGAAAGAACTTAAAGGAAGGGCATGTTACTTTTGAAGAAAATTTGGTAGAACTCCTAATTTGTTTAACTGGATGGATAATTTGTACTAAATATAACACATTTAGATGTTCAAATATGAGGACAAGATGCCTCTACTTTGAGATAAATGGCATACAATTCTTCCTAGAATTTGAGAATACAATCACTTCTTTGACACATCCAACTATTTTTGGAGAGGTGTTTTGGAGTCATCTTACCTCAGATTTTTTATGAGAAAAATTGACAGAAAGACCTCAGAGCCATCTCTCTCCTATCTTTTGTGTAAAAAAAAAAAATTTCTCCCATCTCCTTTCTGTGCAAAAAGTTATTGTTTTCCTCTTTGCTGGCGAGTTAAAGTACTGGGAGTTACAAAAGCAGAGGCCTTCCCTCAAATTCCTGTATCTGCAATAGAGGAGTTTGGCTCAATGCTAGCAAGACTAATCAATTCCCATCAAATAATTTTCCATATCTCAATCCTCTCCAACTCAAAGTTTCTATTTGAAAAGTCCATTCTATTCTTATCTTCCTTTCTTTCTCTCTGAAAACTGCTGGCTTCTCCACTCTTGTTCTATGTATACTTTTTTCTCTTGATTAAATTTTATTTTATTCTCTAATAAGTTTTATATGTTTGCTACGGGTTGAGGAATAGGGATTTGATACCAAGTATGAATGATTGGAATTTCTTTGCTCAAGTAAATACTTTTTGGATCTCTGTTTTTCTATTTTTTTTTCTTTCGTTTTACCCGAAGTCAATTGTAATCTTCTCCTATCTTTACTCCTCTTTGATAGATGTTCAAGAAATGGACTATGGAGAGGACACTCTACCTCTTATTGAAGTATTTCCTAAAATTCCAGTGTAAGTCATGATTAAGAGGTTGTCAAGTCTTTTTAAGCAACTACATTCAGTAATTATCCTTACTTAAGATCCAATATTTTATGCTTTCGCTTTTTTGCATTGAAACTTGTGATTATTTCCTTAGATGAAATGGTTTAATTTCTTTCTTTTTTTTCATGTTCATAGAAATTTTTGTTTTCCAGTTGATATTGCCAATAACTCTTTATAAGTAAAAAATTCAAAGTAAGAGGGTGTGGATTGACTGTTTCTGTTAAACTCTCTTAGTTAGTTGGTAATGATTTTGTCATTTTTTTTCTTTTTGCAGCCAGCTAATGCGCTTTTTGGACAACTTTTTATAGCTCAGGTGAGTGAAATTCCATCTTGGGGTCTTTTTTCCTTGGATTTGGATCAAAATTGTTTGATTAACGACTAGAATGTCATGTTTGCTTTGCTAAGCATGCTATCTACTTTATTTATTCAATGCTTAGGGTTAAATTCTAGGCTGTTAATGGTTGAAGTAGTTAAATTTCAAACCATGTAAGGTTTGTGAACCATTAAATGAAAATATTGAATTCTTGAAAGGGCTGTGAAATCAAAAGGGTCTTACTCAGAAAGGAGAGGAAAACTTGTGATATTAATCTACATATCATCTTGCTTCATGTAACTATAGACTTTTATTTTAATGTAAAAAAAAGCAAGGAAAAAATGGTGGGTTATATATTTCATTTACAACTGTTAATAATGTTGAAGAATATGGAGAATAAGTTCAATAATTTTCTCTGAATCATTCTCATGTTATTACCATGAGGTTGTTTTAATTATATTCTTCATTTGGCGGACGCTTGTTTACACTAAATTTTTGTTAGATGAAGGAAGAACGAAATAAGGAGGCTACTTTTCTTATTTCAGCCTTCAAGGTATGTGCAGGAGTTATTGTTTCAGTGTTTTTGTTCTCTCTTTGCTTTCTTTTTTTTTTCAAATTTATTTAGCAGTTTATTCTTTGCACAACTATTGATGGATTTTGGGTAAGTCATTGGAGGCTGTTTATGGATTTCAAGGTGAAGAAGTGGATAAAGAATCTAAACTGACACCTTATGGTGAAAAAATTAGTCGAGGTATGTGGTGATGGAAATATCACAATTAGCCTGGCACTATTGTCTTTGAGCTACTGGAAGATGATCAATGTGGTTCTTTACAAACTAAAATTGAAGGATATAACAGTCCAGATGCCAAGTCAAACCCTTTACAAGACCCTCGGACTAGCTTTGGATTCGGAATGCAAGTCATGGTTTTCTTTTGAATTGATGTAGTTCAGAATTTGAGTTAAATAGGTACTTATTTACCTTATGCTATCCTCGGTTACTTGTTACTTTTTCTAAAGAAACTTAACTGATACAAATTCCTCAATTTATTCGACCAAAAAAATTTTTGCTTTTGTTTTTAATTGGACCTATAATACAAATTCCGAATTTAATCGAGATCTAAGAATTGTTACATTGCAACCCTGTTTCTATTTCAAAAAGGCATATTTGTGGAAGCCTTATGGAATTGTATTAATAATTTCTGCATTAAAAGCTTTCAGTTGATCTTGACTTTACTGATTGGTCCAAGATTGCATGTAATGATCTTATGCCTTTTCTTAATGAAGATGATGTAATCCATGGGAACTTCAACTTGCTATTTCATTGATAGTTTAAATAGTTCATATCAAGTTGGTCGGTGGCTTACATTTTTTCTTGGTTTTAAGTATTCTTGTTAGCTTGATTTTTTCTTGAATTCCAAGTCATTCTGTCCGCTCATTGCCTTTCTATCAAATGATGGAAACCACATGGATGACTTGATTGCGCTTGTTTCCAAATAATGTATAGGTATTACTGTCATTCTTGATGAATAGCAAGTTTTCGCCTAAATTCAACGTCTCTTGGTTGAGGACTGCATGTGCTGAACCCTCTTAGGATCATTTGCTTTCATCCCTCAAATTTCTAAATCCCTTTGCATTTCCTTCACTCGTTGTTTTTTGAATAATCACTTGTTGCTATCAATCATATAGTGCTTACTGAATTTGCTTTTGAAATTTTGGGAAGAAAAGTGAGAAAGTTGATGAACTGCTTGAGTTGGCTGGCTACTACAAGACTTTTCTCATGAATTCTTATCAAGAAGCAAGGTATGGTTTTGCAACCACAAACAGTGTGGATATGAACTATTTTACTATTTGCTATCATTTATCTTTCCCTGGTATAGTGATCAATAATTGTGAGATCGATTGGCCTCTTTACTTAATCAATAATTTCTTTTTCATATTTGTTTCCCATGGAAATGTTAGTTCTTTCATTTTTATTTCTCAAATTTCAATATTTTTGGCTTCAAAACTTATCACATATTTCGTTCCTATTTTTACATGGTGTCATTCTTAATTTTGTCTAATGTGTAAAGTTTTGGTTTCAGCATACAAGAGCTTAATTTACAGTTGATTTTGACACATACAACGCCATGGCAATAAAGAACGTCATCACCATTGCATGTGCATATCAAGCATAGCTACCAGCAAATTGCATATTTTATAGCGGAGAAAGTAGTTTTTATTTGCTTCTTGCTGGGCCAATTCTAACTCAATTTATACTGTAATATTATATTCCTTTTAGTTCCATCAGAGTAGTTCATTTATGACTCTGTCTAGATTATATCTTTAATGATACATAAAATTCATATGGCTTAAACATAAAATTGCATTACCTCTTGTGCAGGATAAAAACATGGCAGTAGGAGATTATTCGAATAAGCTCTGGGAAGAGGAGGACAAATAAACTCTTAAACGATATTCGGCATTGTAAAGAGATTGAGAAATGCAAGCTTGAGCCATAGTTAGTAAACACTTAGTATCCAATCATGCATACAACTTGTAATAATTTATAGAAGTTTTTTTTTAACTGTATTCTTGATTAATATAGTTGGCCTTGATTCAACATATTTGGCCAATATAGTTTTATAACTTATTTTAGTCATTACTCCTAATTATGGATTATCTATTTTGTTTTTAAAAAAACTATTATAATGGGCTTTACACTGGGCATACTACCTATTAATTTCACACCGCGCGAATCTCCTAGTCAATAAAACAAGGGTTAATTCCACTTTGTCCCCCCAAACTTTGGACGATTACCCACTTAAGTCTCTAAACTTCAAAATGGGACACTTAAATCCCTAAACTTATAAATACCTCCCACTTAAGGAAAATTGTTAACAAATCCTGAATGCTGTTGGTGGTCGAAGTGTCCCATTTTATAAGGATTTAGGGATTTAAGTGTTCCATTTTATAAGTTCAGGAACTTAAGTGGGAGGTATTTATAAGTTTTGGAATTTAAGTATCCCATTTTGAAGTTTAGGGACTTAAGTGGATAATCGCCTAAAGTTTGGGAGGACAAAGTGGAATTAACCCATAAAACAAACCCAACCAAAAGAGTGGGCTTTACCTCCTAAGCCCAAACCAGAAACCCAAACAAAACAAATTAAATCCACTTTTACGAATCCAAACAAATATTATTGCCCACAACCTAAATCAAAACTAAACCCAACCAGATTAGCAAATCAACTAAAATAATCAAGCCACAATTATGATCTAAAAACAAGAATTAATCTAGCTGAAAGACTACTTAAGCAGATTAAAAGATGATTAAAATCTAAAAGGGAGAAACAAGTTCACTCCTCCCAATCTTCCGGGTCATATCAGAACAAGAGGGGATTTGAGGGGTTCCAATGCAATGCAAATAAGGACCCAATCGAAAAAAATTATAGAAATCTGGGAATCAAATTAGGAAGTTCTCAACTCTGGATTAAACCACAAAGCCAAAGAGAATAAAGGGACTGAAATTGCAATTTTGGACAAGTGATCATCTTCTCCACCGAATTGATTCAACATCAGTTGCCATCGCAACTTTCTTTGCAATCAAAGCCATACCAGAATTTGGTAATAGACAACGAGAAACCAAAACTCCCTTTCCTATCATTAATTCGAATTCATACGATGGGAAGCATAAGGGAACGGAAAAACAGAAAAAGGTGCAAGATATCAACACATCAAAAATTTTCAGGCGCAAAGAAATGAACCTGCTGAACTAGCTGGCTCTTTCACACGAAAAAAAATGCAACCAAATGTTCTTTCAATGAGAAATTTTCAGCCAAGCATTTCGTCGAACAGGTTGAGGGCATTAGAGTTTTTACTAATTTTCTACTCAATTAAAGCTATATTCAGCCCCAAAATTATGTCAAAACACAAGAAACTCCAGTCCTATCGACATTCAAAGCATACATACTTCCAATTAGTGAATAACTCAAACAGAGAAATGGCTACAAGCCACAACGTGAAAAATAAAATAGGCTTCGAAAGCTTGTATAAAACTGAAATTTGAAGGATGATGGTGGCTTACCGTATCCAGAATGGCGTCCCTTTCTTCTTGACTCTTTCATTCTGGAATTGGAAGATGACGAAGTCTGACTTCGTTTGAGAGCTTTCATCTAGATTTGCAGAGAGCGGCAGCGGCCAAGGAGGTTGTGTATGGTGGTGACGATGGCAGACAGCAACAGCAGCGAATGCGGACTGATGGTGGCTTGGGCGGGCGGCGTGAGGAAGAGAGGAGATCTGGGGCGGAGAAGGGCCGCGCGGGAATGGGAGGTGCGTCAGTCAGCTAAGTGGCGCACGAGGTGGAGATGCCGTGGCAGAGCTTGGATTGCGGCGGTGGTGATTGGAAATTTCTCTCCTTTTCGATCGTTCAAACTGAAATTTCCTCCCCATTTTTAGGTTTTTTCCATATCCGTTCAACCCTTCCCCGTAGCCGAAGCCCTCTTTCTTCCTTCCTTTAGCTTTCTCTCTTTCTCCATAGTCTCCGAAGCCCTCCTTTCCTTCTTTTTCTCTTTTTGTTCGATAGTTTTTCCTTGCCCACCACCCCTGCTTTTTCCTTTTTCCTCTGCCTTTTTCCTCCGTTGTTGTTTTTCTCTCTCGCGTTAGCTCTCTGCTCCGCCCCTGTTCTTCTTTTTCTTCCACCAAGCCCCTCTGTCTCTTCCTTTAGCCTTCCCTTAGTCAGTTTTTTTAGCTCTATCTGTCTGCCGCCCCTCTTCTGTTTCTTTTCCTTACCCTCTGTCTTTTCTTCACCAATCTCCCCTCCTTTTTAATTTCTCTCAGCCGTCCCCTTTTCCAGTCCCCCCAGCCGTTAATCTCCTCCTTTCTTCCAGCCCTAAAACCCCTCTCGGCTTTTCGCCCTTTTTCCTGTTTTTGCTCCCCAAGCCCCTCTTACTATCGGCTCCCTCCAGTTTTCTTTTTTTTCCCCGTCACCAAAAATCTAACACCTAACCCCCTTAAATGCCTTGTTGTCCAAAATACAAGAGGGACACTTGTCCCATGCATGCCCCCTCTACTTGTCATTTTTACTTTTTTTTCTCTCTTTTTTCTTTTTTTTTCTGAAATTTAGTATGAAGACAAAAAATAAATAATAAAATAAAATAAACTAGAACAAAATAAAATAAAATAAAAACCCTAGAATTGAAACAAATAAATCTATTAAACAAATAAAGTTAAAAAATCAAAAATTTGGTGTCTACACTTATAATCTCCACATTTACAACTATAATCTTAGCTAACAAGAAAACAACAACAAAAGATTACATTAAGGCAAAACAGTCCCTAAAATTCAGTTTTTTTTTCATTTTGGCATTTTTTCAAGGGAAAATTGTCCAAAACGTCCCTTACATTTTGTAAAATAACTTTTTTCGTCCCTCACTTTTAAAAGTGTAATTTTATATCCCTTACATATTTACATCGGACAAATTTAGTCCCTAACTAGGTTTCCGATCATTTTTTGGCCAGAATCCATCATGTGCAAGGCACATGATCATTTTTTAAGGGTAAATTTGTCAAATTATATTTTACATAATCTCATCTATAATCCTCCACATTTTATAAAATAAAATTTTTCGTTCCTCACATTTTATCAAATGATTTTTTTCATCCCTCACATTTCACAAAATGAATTTCTCCATCCCTCACATTTCACAAAATGAATTTCTCATTTCTCACTTATTATGTGTGTGAATACTTTTGTTTAAACACATAAACATGTTTATTTGATTTTGTTTAATAATAGTAGTATAAACACATGTATGTAATTGGGTCCAACTTGTGGGCTATCTTCTTTTTTTGTATGATTATGACTAATATTTATCAATAGAACCTTAATTTGCATATTTTTATTGTATTTTGACTGAAAATAGCTTTATTGGCCAACTTGACAATGAATGCAAGATTATTTACTAGCTAATACCAGATGAAATCAAATGATCACGTATAATATAAGGTATTCGTATTGTTAATTGAAATTAAATAGACACATACATATATTTATGCTATTCGGATTATTAAGCAAAATCAAATAGACATATACTTGTGTGTTAAACAAAATGTATTCACACACATTTTTTTTAGGGTTTCCCTCACATACATAATTAGTGAGGGATGGAAATATTCATTTTTTGAAATGTGAGGGATGGAGAAATTCTTTTTGTGAAATGTGAAGGATGAAAAAATCATTTTATAAAATGTGAGGGACGAAAAAATTTATTTTATAAAATGTGGAGGACTATAGATTAGATTATGTAAAATATAATTTGACAAATTTACCTTTAAAAAATGATCACGTGCAAGGCACGTGATGGATTCCGGCCAAAAAATGATCGGAACCTAGTTAGGGATTAAATTTGACCGATGTGAATATGTAAGGGACATAAAATTACATTTTTAAAAGTGAGGGACGAAAAAAGTCATTTTACAAAATGTGAGGGATGTTTTGGACGATTTTCCCTTTTTTCAAACAATTAACATGCATTCACAAGAAACATTTCCTTTTCCTAAATCTGGTTTATGATCTTCCCAAAATTTCACCGATACAATAACAACAAAACCAGCAAAATAAAACAACACACAAACAATCACACATACATTTAATCTAGTTAAATAAAAAAAAAAGAAAGGCTGGAAAAAAGGACAAGAAATACCTCAATGAAGACCTTGGTCCCTTGGCCAAAGTTTTTGATGAGATTGCCAAGCTCCAATAGCCCAACCAGTCGCTGCCTCCCTTTTGTTGTCTGCAAGGGTGTTGTGGAAATATTGGGAGAGAGGAAGTCCGAGAGATGTATTGAGAGGGAAAAAAAATTGGAGTCTTGGTTTTGTTCAGAGCAAAAGAAAAGGCCGAGAGAGTGTCCCCCCTTCTTTTTTTTTTCTGTCCGTTTTGAGTCCGCCGAGAGAGGGAGGGAAAAATTTACTTTTGTGGCTTCTCTCCTTCTTTTTGGTCGAGACCAGAGAGAGAGCCGAGAGCCTCCCCTTTATAGTTGTGTGTTTTTTTTTCTCCTTTTTTTTCAAGAGAGAGCCGAGAGGGACTTGTAGCCAAAAATGGAGCTTGTGTGTTGAATTTTCCAAAATGATGATTTCTCAACTAATGAAAAGACAAGTCCATGGCCATTGAGTGTGAAATGGGTTAAATGTATTTTGGTGGAAAAAAAATGATTAGAATGATTTTTTTTATTTTCTTAATTTTCCTCCTTTTTTTTTTAGTTTTTGTTGTTTTTTTTTGTGTTTTGTTTTTTTCTTTCTTCCCCTTTTTTTTTAAACAAACCCGCAAAAAATGAGAAAAATGCACATTAAAATGCAAGAAAATAAATAATTCATTAAATAGAAAAAAAATTCAAGAAAACATTGAAAATTGACAAAAATTTGGTGTCTACAGTTAGGTGAAGATTTGTTACCTCAAAATGGTTTGTTGACGATTAGAGATGAAAATGATGTGAAAACCCTCAAGAAACTCACTCCAATTTGGGCACAATTGCAAAATATGAGAAGATGAAACCCTACCTACTTGAATCTTAAATTCAAATTTGGAGATGTTTTTGAAAGAATTAAACCATGAAAACCACTCTAGAAGGTAAGAGGAGTGTTTTGGTGAAGTTAGTTTGAAGATTTGATGGTGAAAAGAGGAATTTAGTGAGTAGTGTGTGTTTGAGGTATGCGTGTGTGTGTGGAGTTGAAGGAGGAAGAGAGGGAAGAATAAGGAAAAGTGAACCGAGCTTTCGTTTTTGAATTATTTTTGAAAGGATCCGAGGTCGGATCATGATGATTGAACTCAGATAAAAAAAATCAAATTTGTTCTCTGATTGCAGAAGTAGATCCCAGGTCTCGGATCCATTGAATCTGCACTTATTGCAGAATTTTCTACAATTTTCAATTTGACCCCAATTCAAAACACAATCTTCAATTTGTGCTCTACAACGAAATGTTCAACAATTCAGCACTTTACGCACATGAAAAGTGACTTAAACATGAATCTCAACACCTCAAAACAAATAAGAAACATGTAGAATGCAAATTTAGGGTTCATGTTCTTGGATCAAATAGTCCCCTCGACACTTCCAATGCATATGATGGTGTTCAAATGGTTCAAAATAGTGCAAATAGATCATGAACATACTTAATCACTTAAATGCACTTCAACTTCATACAAATGACTAACTTAATCTCATATCATGAAATTAAACATTGTTAACTCAAAAATAAAGGTTAAGCTTCCCTTTTTCACGGCAGTCTCCACTTCTTATAAGCTCTTTTGTACTTGAAATAATTTGCATGACTTCTTGTCATTGTTACCTACAAAACATACAAAAATACTAATCAAATAACTAAAACCTACTAAAAAAACTAGAATCGTTGGGTTGCCTCCCAACAAGCGATTCTTTATAGTCATTAGCTTGACTATTTTACCTCACTTTTCAAGGAGGTTTTGTTAACGAATAATCTACCATTATAGGTCATGGTGGATCATTAAAAGGTGGCTTAACAACAAAAGGCATGTGTTCTAGTGATATGAGATGTGGAAGTGACTTACTTATCTCAAGTATTTCATAGATATTACCTTGAACGTATATCACTTGAACACTCACCAAAGGAATGTTTGTATGTCTGTCTTGGGCAATAATACCTTTAAAACCTATATTCACAATACATTCCTCAAGAGAGGTTAAAAATGAGTTGTTAAGGCTCACTTCTTGAGGTTCAAGATTAGCTCTGAAGGTATTATCATCTGAAATGGACATTTTCTCATTGAAACACAATTGAGATTCATCATTTTCATCAAAATGTAATCCACTTTCACTTGTAACATAATCACCATTCATGATAGGGTCATAGTGCATATCGTTAGAAAAAATAACTTCACACAACTTATGCAATTGCTCTTGTATTCTACCAAAGTGAGAAGATAATTCATCTAATCTTTCCTCAATTCTAGCAAAACGATCGGAGGTCGCATTAGCTAGCTTTTCTATAATTAAATCAAATTGATTAGAAAATTTTTCTATAACTAACTCTCAAGATGCATTAGGATTATTAGCTAATGGTTCACTTCTAATTCCCAAGGTAAATATGCATTAGCTAATCTTTCTATTGCCAATTCTCAAGATGGTTTTGATTCATATTGGACACATTCAGATTGGTAATCATGAAGACATGAAAAATCACTATATACACATTGATTATCCCAACCGTAAGCATAAGAACTATCTCAATTAGGGTTACATTGATCAAAACAAGAATTATAATGCCCAAATTCATCATAATAATCCACAGTTTATGCTTGGATACATGTATGAGTATCATGATAACCTCCACACAAGTCACAAATTACATGATAAGAATTGACAGCATTAGCATTCCTCTTTTGTTCAAGCATATTCGTAATAGTGTTCAATTGAACTTTTAACGTTATAACATCACATTTAGTTTTTAAGCACCTCAAACCATCTTCGAATGACATACCTTTGATAATTTCTTGATTACCTCTATTCAACGAACTTTGCACTTGATGATCATCCATAACCGATCTTCCATTTTCTCAAGCATTGTGCGCCCATGTATTCTACTTTCCTTGAACCCCTAAACATGCTTTCAAGGTAACTCAAAAACAAGTTTAATCAAGAAAAATAGATAACTCGACACATATAAAGACATACAAATAAAGACTCAATAAGACACTAAACATAACAATTAAGACACTTAATAAAACAAAAACAAGAAAAGCAAGAAAAAATGTCTAAATTAATAAAATTATTCTTAGTACAGATATTGAGCAAATCTTCTCCGGCAACAGCACCAAAAACTTGATGAGCGCGGGGTATACATATATCAATTAACTTATTTCACAATGAAGTTTTATATTTATAATTCCTAAATACCCCACACGTGATTTTTCGCAAGTATACAAATTGTTTATTGAACAT